GTGGAGGCCATTCTGTGCCGGTAATGGTCATCTTACGGACCTCATCTTCGGTTCGCATTGGTGCTTTTCTTTTCTGCTGAGGACGGTTCCTTGCATAGTGCCCTTGTTCAACACAGATAAAACAAATGATTCTTGCTTCTTTTGAGTCCACAAGTGGCATGGCACGATGGGCCTGTTGGGATGCTGGCGGAGCGCTGACTTGTGGTGTGAGTGCTTGGACTGCCTCCAACTGCACTTGAGGTTGCATCTGACTCGGGTTCAGAATTGGCGTCTGATGCTGCTGTAGTATCTCTATAAGCAATTTGTTCTGGTTAATCAGGTGTTGGACCACTGCCATACAACTGGTGTCTGGTGCTTCATTCACTCGGGAGCTTGAGGTACCCACGTCCTGATTTCTGACCATACTGCCTTTTTTATTGTCAGCCATCTGTTACTAGGTTTGGAGAGGGAGAGAGGGAAAACAAAAGGGGAGAGACAGATTAGAAACTAAGGATAGGACCTTAACAGATCTATTTTTTTTCTGTTATGATGTATGTTAGGTTTATTCTGCAAGTTGATTAAGCAAACAATCTAGCATGGTTACATCACACCCCACTGATGCAAACCACGCGCTACACACACAAGCAAGGAAACACACGACTAACGACTCTACCCTAGAGGGTGGCTTAGGTTCTGCAACAGGTTCTCCAAGATCTTCACCCCTGCTTCACAGCTGGCTTCATTGCTTCCTTCGCTTCGCTAGCGGATCCAACAGTCTTCTGGAGCTTCGGCAAACGATTGACGATCTCTTCTTCTTCACAAAGCTGACCATCTAGTACTAGTTGAAATTCGAAGAAGGAAGAAGGAAGTAAACCTTTTGCAAATAGCATTAGGGAAAGGAGGAAAAAGGAACTTTCGCAAATAGTTTCATTTATAAAATATGTCCTTACGTTTTATCCAGTTGGCTTATCCTACAGTCGAGATATCTCTGATACCAGCTTGTCGCGCCCGGAAAAATACCTTTTCCATAACACTAGTGTATTAATCCCCGTCCCAGGAAAAGCACATCAGGCCTGACAAACATGATATAAAAGACACATCTTTATTATATCGATAATATTTACATTATTACAAAGGCACTTCAGGCCTGACAAACAAAAATAAATAGCAGCGGACTAGTGGGCCTATGGCTCCATCTTCACAGGCGCTCAACTAGGGTATAAGCCAGGGCTCCACCTAAGACTTCTTCTCCAAAGCTTCTCTTACTGAAGGGGGGGAAAGATAGAGCAAGAATGAGTACAACCACAGTACTCAGCAAGTCACACCGGGATATGCATGATTAATGCAAGGGAGTACAAAGGGTAATAATATAGGGGTTAAGTTTTGCAGTAAACAGCATTTAAGAGTCACTTAGTTGCCCAAAGCTATTTTATAAAGACAATCCTAGAGCTACACAGTATTATTAATCAAGGCCCTGAACCCACACGAACCTGGCTTAACCCAAGGCCTATGATGATTCAGACCAAACTGGCAACCCGACCTAGGTCCCAGCTCGTCCCAAGCCAACCTAGGCCAACCATTCCACATTTTAGTTGTTAAGCAAGTTTTAAGAATTAAACCACTAACTTGGGTACATTGCTAGGCTTGCCCATAACCGAGGGCGCGGCTATTCGAATAGATTATACTCTGATCAGAGGTGTACATCTTTACCCACAAGACACATCTTTACTCTGCATTCCACGGCCGTGGAACCCGTGGTAAAGGATGTGACATAACCCCTTTACCCATCCTAGCCGTGACAAAAGCACCGACCCAACCTCGCCTACGGCCGGAATCCCGAGACAGGTAGGTAAGATTGAGCCCCTAGCAGCAGGACACCGGCCCTGTGCCATGACATCTTGAATACCGAGCCGCAGCCCGTGTAGCCTTCATTTGCCCTAGAGATGTCCATCGAGCCCCGACTTCGTCCATCTCCATCCGTGTACTCTTGCAAGGACTAGACTGAGCACCGAGTTAAGCCTTACCCATTAGACATGTGGTTAGTACGGTAGTGCTTTGCAACAGAGGCCCGAAGACCGGTCCTTATAGTGGCTGAGGTGCTACTAGCAGAACCATGCACCTCGAGCCCAGCCTAAAACCATTTTGGGAGTTTTGAATAGAGGGGGGGAGGTGTGTGTTCAATTCCACCACAAGCCAACCATTCCACAGTGTCCAAATGATATGAGAACTCCCAAAGTCTAAAGTTATAAAACCACCTAGTGTTGCCTAATTAATCAGCGAAGCATCTACCTAAATTCATACTAGTGGAACCGTTAATAGAGTACCCACTAGTTGGGGTTTTGTTTATCCTAGGGTGAACAAGGTAATAATAACAATAGCAATAATAATAAGGTCATAACAAAGGTAAATAGGCATGGCTAAATAAAACAGTGATAATGCGGGAATTTATGTAAAGCGGTAATGCAATAATTTAAATCAAAATAATTTTATAAACTGGGATTCAATATGCTAAAGGGTGATGCAACTTGCCTTGCTCAGAGAGAACGGCCTTCCAAACCTTCGACGACGACCGCGAACCACACTTTGGGAACCTCCGGAACGACAGAAGCTACGCGAAGCACACAAGCAAAGCTACAAGCCTATAAAGAAGCAATAATAAAACATAAAAAGAAAGCACAGGGTTCTTTAGGTTATAACAAACATTAGGAGACTTGAACAGGTCGATTCGGAGCTCGTATGACCAAGATATGGTCATCCGAAGTTTAATGCTGTCACGTGGAGATTTACGAATTATTGTAATTAGGCTTTGCAACTATAAAACATGTGTAAGCGCTAGCCTGGAAAAGACAGGAAGGCTGCGCCGTTGACATGCGGACCCCACATGTCAATCTAAGGGACCACGGTGGACCGGGTACACAGAGACGGTCCACGGGTCGAAGGAAGCAGACCCCGTGTGTCAACCGAGGCGAGTGGCCGACAAACGGACTCCACCAGACACCACGCGGGCTGCACACGTGGAAACCACGCGGCTACCGAGCGGGCACACAAACACGGTCACCACACGCACCCACGAACACTACTGACACCGGTACACGGGTACCGGGGTTGACAACCGCACAACGGGCACGGGGCAACACCGAAAGGACGAGGACGGGGCAGCGAGAGGAGGCACCGTTACCACCACCCGAAAAGGCGCGGCACGACGACGACGAACGGGCGCGGCGGAGACGGCTCGGGGACGACAGAGGCAAACGACTTCGGCGGCGATCCTTGGACGAAGGCGAGACGCGGCCGGCACGAGGCTTGACGACGCGGAGCCGAGGACGAAGACGACAATAGGGCTGCAGCGGCTCGCTTGACGAACCACAGGCGGCGAACGCGATCGGCTTGACGGAGGGACGAACGCCACGACGACCGGGTACGATGGGAGGATGACGACCGGAACCGGTGAGGAGGCGATGAGGGCAGCCGGCAGCAGCTGCACGGATGCGAGGACGGCGCGGAACACGTCGCTGTGATGACGACGATGGTTGCGGCGCAGCAAGACGACGAGCCGGGCGACCGACGGGACATCGACGACGAGGACGAACGGAGACGACGACGATGGACTGCAGAGGGGTTTGGATGGAGGGGAGGCGATGCCGAGGACGATGTCGCCGGCTCGCCGCTGCGATGCCGGAGGTTGTGGTGGCGCGGCCGACAGCGCACGGGTGAAGGAAGGGCCGACCGGGGAAATTCCGGCGAGGCGGATGGAGAGGCCGGCGCTGCACGGCGGTGTTCCGGCGAAATTCTGTAACATACCCAAATTCTAGACCTTAAAAATTTCCTATCAAAATAGTTGGAAGCTAACTTTTCCATTTTTGAGAGCTAAAAATTTCCATTTTTAACCTAGGTGTGGTCAATCTAACTTGAACCTAAGTAAAATTTGAGAACAAATTAAAACTTTTTCATTTATAACCTAGGACATAAATGCAAACACGAGTAAAAGCATGCATACTTGCATAAAACATGTTTTGACTTGAGTCCTTCATGTGCATTTGAATATTTGATTTGCATTTCATAATAGGTCTGATGAATATTAACTAAGATCTAGATAAACAACTAAACCATTATGGCCTAGTGCTAGCTAGAGGAAGTTAAAATAGAAACCATACACCTTAAAATATATCAACATGGCTAATGTCAAGCCTCACAAAACTAATTTGGACATCCATCTGAAGACATGTCATGAACATGAAAGTGAACAAATAAATTATATCATATAGGGTATATTCTATCTTAATCATCTCTAAGCATTCTCTTAATTTAATACTAAAGTAAACTTATGCATAAATAAGTAAGGAGCTTATGACATGTGTAAGGTAAACTGTAATTCTATCATATCAATATCACCTCAGGTTAATGAGAGTCCAAATATAACTTTTATAAACATTTACATGCATTTAGGAAAGGGAAACACATATAAGACATAAGTCTTGCGAATTATCTAAAATAATTCGTGCAAGATAAAATCATGGGAAAATTCCTGTAGGCTCTACTCAACTCATACAACTCACTGTAATTTTGGTATAATTTAATAACTAAATTTGGTACCTCAAATAAATCAGTCAAACTAATAAAAACTAGATTAACCGTAGTTCTTAATCGGCTAAAACCATACTTTATCTAAAAGTGCATTTAACTGCATAAAAGTGTATAAGTAAAATAATTTATTCAAATACTAGGTCATTTATCATGAATAAAAATAATTTTTCCAGAATTTATCTTCTCTGTTTAAATTACTAAAGTGGGAGAGAGAAATAATCCTGAAAATCATTCAAAACTTTTGTTCACCCACGTTTCTGCCCAACCCTCTCACCCTAGCTTAGTTTGCCACGACCTGGACCCACTTGGCAGCCACTCTGGCTCGTCCTCACCTTGTGCAAATCTTCCAGCCGACCAGAGACAGCCGAGAGAGAGAGAGAGATTGGCGCCGGCTGTGTACGACGCGTGGCCACAATGTGTCGACGCCATCAAACTCCTATTCTAGCCTTCTCCTCCTCCCAGCTGCATCTCCACACATCATTCTCCACCTCTAAGCCGAAGAAACCGAGGGAGGAGGCTCTCAACTTCTCCGTCGCCCTCATCCTTGCTGCCGGCCGCGAAGAAGACGACTATCGTACTTGTAAATAAGCCAGGGTAATCCCCATCTCTTTCGCGTTCCATACTCTTCTCACCATGCCGATGATTTATCCTTTTAATTTCATCCTCTATCGTGCAGCGGATCGACGGGAACGCCGTCGTGCCCACGGCACTCCGGAGCGCGCTCCAAGCGCCGCCGCAGCCGACATCGTCGTCGTTCCGACCATTGTAGACCAAACAAAGCCGAGCCGTCGCGCCAACGTCTTCTCCTTGAAGTCTTCCTCAAAAACCCTCAAAAATCCTAGGCAATGGCGCAGCAAGTGCGGAGATCGGCTACCGTCTTCTTCACCTCCGGTCGCCGTCGCCATTGTCGATTCCGCCTCCTCCGGTGAGCCATTGTCCGATTCTTCGCGTATACACCATCCCTGGGACCTCACTAACCCCATGAAAACACATGGATGTCAATTCGATGAGTGGATCGAGCCGTTGCCGTCTCCCCGGAGCTCTACACCGTCGCCGGACCATCTTCTTCACCGCTGCCGCTGTCCAGACTTTCCCGCGCCTCGTTCAAGGTTCGGTGAGCACACTTGAGCCCATAGGATTGCATTCATGCATTTCATTCACTTAGAATCGAGCACCAACTCAACATGCAGTAGCAGCCTAAGCACAGCCGCCGCTCGGACTCGCCGCCGGCGTTACTCCGATGTCCACTGACCGAGAAAAGTAGAGGAATGGAATCACAATAGCATGATCGTCATTTTGTCTTTTGGTCGCACCCTCAACCGAGCCACCGTTTGCCGCTGGCAAGCTTGAGATCGAGCTCAGCCATGGCTTGATCTGCTTCAGCTCAAACCAGGGACCTCCTCACAAGAATTTAGGTTAATGTAGGGTTCTTTCTGCAAAAGCTCAAGACACACAGAACAGTCATAAGACTGCGGTTTGATTTCCTGAAACCCTAGGGGCCTTTTTGCATATTGGCCTGAGACCGACAAGTGGACCCCATGAGTTTAAAATCTGAAAATGTAAAAGATAATACTAAAAGCCTTTACTTTTTAACAGCAAAACACCTAAACTTGTAAAATCCATATAAAATCAAATATAACTTATTTTGAGATGATTCAACTTTCTATAGGTTCACAAAACTATGAACTTTAATGTGGTAACATTAAGCTTGGCACCCTCAGCACAGACCTTGTCTCTAAAATGGGTCTAATATAAATCATACATAAAGCATACACAAACTTATAAAATGCATATAAAGTACATCTCAACTCATTTTGGAGCAAACTCAGTTTCTACAGATCCACAACTTATGTTCTCCTATAAAGCAAAATGAAATAGTATACATACTATACATCAAATGCCTCTAAAACTATTACCTTTGAATGACTAGTTTTAGATAAGCTGAATTTTAGAAGTTCATATAAAATTCATCTTAGATCCTTTTTGAGTAAACCCAAGTTCTGTAGAATCACCAAAACATATACTTCCAAGTTATAAAATAAAATTATATACTTACTGTATGATAAAAGCCTCTAAATACTTATGTAAGTAATAACCAACATACAGAAACCTTAAATTGTAAAATTTGTAGAAAATTCATCTTTAGTCTAAATGAAGTGAACCAAATATCTATAGAACCAGCAAACAGTGGGCTTCAACATAGTAAAATAAAATATGGAACCTTCTGTACAGGTTATAGCTCTAAACTTTAAATTTATAGGATAGGTGCTAATCACATAGTATCGATTGAGCAATATGTATATATATAAATGTATATAGAAATACACTCTAGCTATAATGAAACCCAAATAAAACTTGTTAGACTAGTGAATGCATAGTTCCATCCCCATCCACCAAAACTTAAGGCACTTAGCTCATATAATAATTTCTAGGTTGATATAATAAATTGCTAGCATGGACTAGAGCTCCTCTAGTTTATAAAATATGAACCATGATAATAAAGACCATAAGCCTATGAACTAAGGTTAGATTAGTTAACTAAAATACTCATTTTATACATCACTAGCTAGATGAGGCAAGTTCTGGACCTAAACCTCTAAAGCCATGAAACTATAGAACACTATACACCTATAACACGTTATAACTTGTAAAATACATAAAGAATTCATATTAAGTCCAAAAATTGTGAAACCAAATGTGTTAGTCTTAGAAAACACTCCTCTACACCTCTGTGAAGTCAAAACTAATAAAAATCACTTTATAAAAATATTTTATAACACTACCTAGGTGATACTACCTTATACTGAGGAAACTTCTAAAATTCATAACTCCCAAATAAAAAGAGATAAAATAGAAATTCTTTCACCTAAATTCATATTATACCAGTACCTATTCACTGTGCAAAAATCATCAATTTTAGAGCATTTTGGATTTTTCGCATATTTCGGTGTTTAATTGCATAACGTGTACTTTGTATAGATGATTGCTTAAACGGTGAAGAAGTGATTTAGGTGCTGACATTTTCCTGATTCAAGGCAAGTCCCACCTCCCTCTCTTTGATCACTTTGAACCTATGTTTTGGAGGTTATTGAAAATGTTTGCAAATCTTGCATGTCGATTGTACACTAATAAATTAAAATTTTGTTAAACTTATTAGATAAACTCCTATTATTTGCATTATCACCTTAAATCCACATATATCCATATTCCTCATTCCTAACCTTAGGAACAATATGACTATACCAATTTATATATGAGTTTTGGTGACACTAGGTTACTATAAAGCTTAACCATGCTTAGAATGGTCTTCCTTGTCATTATGGGCTCATTACAAACATGAAAATTGATTTTTAATTAATCTGGACAGAACTTTAATACTTGTGATTTTGATAAATAAAATGGTGGAAAACATGGATTTTAGGTTTGGGCCTCAAGTGGTGCACATATGGTGATTAGTTGTGTACCGATAGGGGGAGAGTGTGCCCAAACCGACCTAAGGACTTCACTCAATGTCAGTTCATTTCGTATACGGTGCAACCACATGTGCTAGTATGGGATAGCCCAAGCTTAGTAAATTATTTATGGTTTAGCCTTACATTCTGGTAGGCCGGTGTGTATGAGTTCATATAATTCAGAGGAGCTTCCTATTTACCTCGAAGTGGTAGTTTAGGTGACCTAGCGTGTCCAATACAACGGTATTGTGCCACGTGGTGGGTTCCCGTTGTATCCGCCACCACGGCGTTAAGTTTAAGGCGTGGGCCCGCCACTTAACGGTTTTAGGTCATATAACATGTATGGCTTAGGATGGAGTAACACGTATCGTGCTGGTGTAAGGTTAAATCATGAATTTTGAAAAAGCTTTATTGCGGGTAATAAATCGGGTACTTATGTATCGCGTGCCATGCTCTTGCATGATTATTATTTTGCATCATGTGGGTAAAGTGTACAAACTATGCAGAGTAAAAACTAATCGATTAGCCGTGCTCACGGACAAGAGCGACGTGTGGATATGTATTGAGTATAGACTTGTGTTTATTCTTCTTAATGCTAAAATTTACCTTCAAATTGTGATGAGATTTGAGAATGATCTCCTTGCTGCCATGGAAGGCAATGAGGTGCATATTTATACATGATTAATGCCTACCTTGATGCCCAATATGTCAAGTACTAGCTTGCTGAAATTTATTTGAAAGTAAACCTGATTTAGAAATGTTTTATGCAAATAAAACTTGCTTTATGCTAAAAAGAACCATATTATGCCTTCCTTGATTATATGCCTTGCAAGTAGGGTGTTAGGCTTGTCTTGATGCTTGCCAGTACATTATTTCTAATAATGTACTAACTCTTGCTATTGAATTAATCTTTTGCTTGCAGGTTTTAGACTTAGTCTTTGAGTGATGCGGGTAATCGACTGCTTCTTCTAGGACTTGAATTTAATGGGGTAAATCCCTAGTCGGTGTGCTTGTGGATTGGGTAGACAAGCTTCCGCTGTTCTATATATTTATTTGGCCAGTCGGCCAATGTAACTAAAGTAGATGTAGTTTATAATCGCTTTCATCTTATTTGTGTTTGCTATGTATAATCATGCTTGAGATGAAAGTGTGAATCTAGTGCACATCCTGGGAACTAGATTCACATGAGTATGAGTTAAGAATATTTGAGATGTTGTAGATCTTTAGCCATTTTTGTCAAGTCTCATGAATGTGTAACACATCTGGTCACCGCCTTCGAGTGGTTTGACGGGCACATCTCAGGCTAAAGTTGACTGGCAGGCTAAAGGCCTAGCAATGTCTCCAATATTCTTCTCTCGAGGCGTCGGATGTTTCATTATGTTTGTTTGATGACTTGAATTATTCACTTCATCCCTCAAATATAATGGAAGCTCCGGAAAGCCTACGACAAATTCGGGCGACGCCGTGGCCTGGCCGGGGAAGAGGACAGCATTCCGGTGCCGGGAGAGGTGGTGGCGACGTCGGCCGACGCACAGGAGATGCGGCAGAGGCGGCCGGAGGCGGAACAGTGGCAGCAACGCCACTGTTGCCGGTGGGGATGCACTTCCGGAGGTCTCCGCGGGAAATGGACGGCATGCCGGGGAAGGGGAGGTGACTGCGACGCCGGGGGAGGCGACGGCACGGCCGGCCGGTTAGCTGACGCGGCGGCAGGGGCGGCTGGAGTCGGCCGACGCTGGGGAGAGAGAAGGAGGTGGCTAGAGACTCGGGAGGGACCAAAACGGATCGAGGGGAGGTGGAGGACTTCGTTTTATAGGGCAAGGAGGGAGTGCTGGTCACGGGAGAGGGCGGAAACGGCACCGGAGGAGGTGGCCGGCGGCATCAATGGCGGTCAAAGAAGGGGGATTAAATCCCGGCGATTGGGGACGGGATTAAAGGGGGAAAGTTAGGGGAACTAGAGAGGAAGGGATGTGGATTCCATTTCTCTAACTAATTTGAATTAATCCGGCATGAATGGAGCGGATTTGGGGAAGGAATTGGTGCAAGGGTTAACGGGAGAGAGGAAAGAGAGGAGCCGGCCGGGAGGTAGAAGACGACCGGGTGGGTGGACCAACCGGTCAGGCGCAAGGCGCGCACGTGCGCCGCGCATGCAGAGGGGCGCGAGGGAGAGGAGGGAGGCGGCCTAGGGCGGCAGGTCGGCTGGGCCGGGATAGGGCAGGGGCGGCCCAAGCGGAAGAGGAGGGAAGAGGTGGGCCGGGAGGAGGAGGGGAGGCCTGGGATAGAGAGGAGAGGAAAAAGAGAGGGAGGGAAGAGAGACTTCGGCCGTGGGCCGATTGAGAGAGGAAAACTTTGGGCCAGACTTGGCCCAAAGGGAAAAGGAGGATTAATTTTTAGTTTATTTTTTAATAAACTTTGATAATTGTTTTTGTTGCTTAATAATTATTCCCGGTGTTCTGAAAATTCAAGTTAAATTTGAGGGCTCCTTTTAGACCAAGGATAATTTAACAAAAATTCTCCGGGCCACATTCGAATTTTTCTTGTACGCATTTTAACGTTTGCCAAATTCTATTCGAATTTTAATTAATTCTATTATTCCTTTTAGAAAATGATTTTTATTTCGGCATGAATTTATCATGGGCGTGACATTGATGCTGATGATTGGATTCGCACCATCGAGCGGAAGCTCACTCTCATTCACTGCCCCGACGCCGAGAAGACCAACCTGGCAGCCGAGCAACTCCAAGGCGCAGCAGGTGATTGGTGGGAGAACTTTCTCGCCATGCAACCCGCCGGCCGTGTCGTCACTTGGGCTCAATTTCGGGATGCTTTTCATGCTGCCCATGTGCCGAAGGGTATTATGGACCTCAAACAACGTGAGTTCCTATCTCTCACTCAAGGCAACAAGTCCGTCATGGAGTATCTCCGCGAGTTCAACCACTTAACTCGCTATGCTCCGGATGATGTCAATACCGACACCTGCAAGCAAAATTGGTTTATGAATGGGTTGTCGGCGGAGATGCAACTCGAGCTCGTTGCACACTCTTTTCTGGACTTTCAGGACCTTGTCAACAGGTCCGTGGTCATTGAAAGCAAGATGAAGAACCTTGAAGCTGAGTGCAAGCGCAAGAGGGCTGCGCAGATTTCAGCCGCGGGTGGTTCGCAAAAACCCCATGGTTGGCAGCCGCCCCCTCCGCGTTTTCAAGCACCACCACCTCCTCGTCCACAAGGATTCGTGCCATGCCCTCCTCAGCAGCGTGTCGCGCCTCCTGTGGGCGGAAATCAGCAAGCTATTCGCCCACCTGTTCGCTCCAACAACTGCTTCAATTGCGGGCAAGCGGGCCACTACATCAACCAATGCTCGTACCCTCATCATGCACAACTCCAAGGACCAAGACCAGCAGCACCATGTCCTAATCCACCTCTCAGGTCAGCACCTCAGGGTCAGCAAACTCAGAAGAGGGGTAGAGTGAACCATGTCACAGCCGAGGAGGCGAACGATGCATTGGATGTTCTTGTCGGTACGCTACTTGTCCATTCATACCCAGCTAGTGTGTTGTTTGATTCTGGAGCTACACATTCTTTTGTCACCAAAGGTTTTGCATCAGACCATAAAATCCCAATTAGTATGTTGCACCCACCTTTAATTGTTACATCACCCGGTTCAGAAATGAGAGCTGAATTTATTAGTCGGGACACAAAGATAGCTATACAAGGGGTAGAATTTACCGCTGACCTTATCATCCTCCATACAAAGGGTTTAGGTGTTATCCTAGGCATGGATTGGCTGCACAAAAATCATGGGTTATCGACTGTGGCCATCGTCTCATTACACTCAAAAATAATACCGGCGAACCGATCTTTCTTGCACTTGATGATCATTCCCCACAACTCCATGCTCTTTCGGGCGCCAAAACCATTGATATAGCTGCTGTACCAGTGGTGTGTGATTACCCCGATGTCTTCCCAGAGGAATTACCAGGAATGCCGCCGGATCGGGATGTTGAATTTGTGATAGATTTGCTGCCCGGAACAGCTCCAATCTCTAAAAGACCGTACCGTATGCCTCCAAATGAGCTAGAAGAATTGAAAAAGCAACTCACGGAGCTGCAAGCAAAAGGTTTCATTAAGCCAAGCTCCTCACCTTGGGGATGTCCGGCTCTCTTTGTAAAAAAGGACCTTAGCTTGCGGATGTGTGTTGATTACCGTCCGTTGAATGAAGTCGCTGTCAAGAACAAGTACCCATTGCCCCGAATTGATGATCTCTTTGACCAACTGACAGGTGCTCATGTGTTCTCCAAAATTGATTTAAGGTTGGGTTACCATCAAATCAAAATCAGACCAGAAGATATACCAAAAATAGCCTTCTCTACCCGTTTTGGTCTATATGAGTACACCGTCATGTCCTTTGGTTTGACCAATGCACCGGCAAACTTCATGAGCTTGATTAATTCGGTTTTCATGGAGTATCTTGATCAGTTTGTGGTCATTTTTATTGATGACATCCTCATCTACTCCAAATCTGAAGAAGAACATGAAAAGAACCTCTATCTTGTATTGGAAAAATTACGTGAGCACCGCCTATATGCCAAATTTAGCAAATGTGAGTTTTGGTTGAAAGAAGTTGGATTTCTTGGTCATGTTTTATCTGAAGGTGGAGTTGCTGTAGATCCAAGTAATGTTCAAAAGGTATTAGATTGGGGACAACCCAAAAATCCATCCGACATCCGGAGTTTTCTTGGTCTAGCTGGCTACTACCGTCGGTTTATTGAGAATTTCTCCAAAATTGCTAAGCCTATGACCCAATTATTGAAGAAGAATGAGAAGTATGTATGGTCAGCTGAGTGTGAGCAAAGTTTTCAAACCTTGAAAGAAAAGTTAACCACTGCTCCCGTTCTTATCCTACCCGATATACACAAAAGCTTCGATATCTATTGCGATGCCTCTCGTCAAGGACTCGGTTGTGTTCTTATGCAAGAAGGCCGAGTTGTGGCATATGCATCTCGTCAATTGAGACCTCATGAAGTGAACTATCCAACCCATGACCTTGAATTAGCCTCTGTTGTTCATGCACTAAAAATATGGCGGCACTATCTTATCGGTAACCGTTGTGAAATCTACACCGACCACAAGAGTTTGAAATATATCTTATCCCAATCAGATCTGAACCTAAGGCAAAGAAGGTGGTTAGAACTCATCAAAGACTATGACATGGGTTTACATTATCACCCGAGGAAGGCTAATGTTGTTGCTGATGCGTTGAGCCGAAAACCGCAATGCAATTGCTTGTCGGTAAAACCCCGATCGGAGACCTTATGTTCAGAAATTCATAAACTTGGTTTAGAAATGGTACCACATGGTTCCCTTGCTGCCCTAGAAGTGAAACCTACTTTATATGATCAGATCAAAGAGGCCCAAAAAGATGACAAAGGTATGGCTCGAATCCGAGCTAAAATGGTTTTACCAAGATTCGGATGGTGTTTTATGGTTCGGGAAGCGCTTGGTTGTGCCTAACCATCGCAAACTGAAACAACTAATCCTTAGTGAAGCCCACAACTCTCCTTTCTCAATCCATCGAGGTAGTACTAAGATGTACCAAGACCTAAAGCAAAAATTATGGTGGACCCATATGAAGCGGGAAGTTGCACGGTATGTTGCCGAGTGCGACACTTGCCGAAGGGTGAAAGCCGAACATCTAAGACCAGCGGGCACTCTCCAACCACTCCCTATTCCCATATGGAAGTGGGAAGATATTGGAATGGATTTTATCACCGGTCTACCCACCTCCTAGAAAGGCAACGACTGCATTTGGGTAATTGTCGACCGACTCACAAAATCGACTCATTTTCTACCCATTCATTCCACATCAAAAGTTAGTAATTTGGCGGAGTTGTATCTCGCTCGCATTGTATGCCTTCATGGAGTGCCAACAAAAATTATATCGGATCGTGGACCACAATTCACCTCTCATTTTTGGAAGTGTCTCCACAAAGCTATGGGAACCAAACTCTCTTTTAGCACCGCATACCACCCACAAACCGGAGGCCAAACTGAAAGAGTAAATCAAATATTGGAAGATATGTTGAGGGCTTGTGTCCTCGATTATGGAATAAAGTGGGAAAAATGCCTCCCGTATGCCGAATTCTCCTACAACAATAGCTACCAAGCTAGATTTCAAAT